TTGCTTGGTTGGCTCCTGGGCTAGGTGTTGAATCTGAATGCGAGAAGCTTTCCGTAGAATCGTCGCTATCCATAGTACCCCTCTCATTGGATTCAAGATGTTGCGCTTCGCTCAGTCCACCAAATACCTGAGTAGATGCGTCAAGGAAGATAACTCCATCTATGTCGAGCGAGTGACACAGAGTATCCGCAGCACGTTGATACGTATCGCTCGGACTGTCGATGTCCCTACGAAGGCGAGGTGCCGGAAAGGTTGGGATATTTTGAGTTCCTGTCTTCAGCTCGCGATTGAATGAATCTGGTATCGACGTACTCGCAACGCTCGTTCTGCGGTCGCTCATTTGCTGACTAGACTCCGTGCTAGATATGAAGGTCCGAAGGGGGCTAGCTGTAGAGCTCGCATGACGCTGGGCGTCGGAAGATCGCGCCATCAGTTGTGATGTTGTCTCCGGTACTCTCGTCCGATCTACCAAGGCATCGGGCATGCGGGCTTGACGGTCACCCATGTCACCTTTGTCCAGAGGCATTTTGGTTGCTGTCGGAGCTGTACGACCCGCATTTGAGAAACCTCGCACAAAATCACCGAGCCCAGCCACCATGCGATAGTTTTGCTGTCGTTCAGAAAGCGCACGCACAGTTTCGAGGTGAGTCATGACCGTTTGCGACATGTCGCGCAAAAAGATGAGATCACTCTCTGCAAGCCCATTTCGAACTTTGTCGTCCAGAATGCAGTATGCACCGATGTTAACACCAGATGGCGTGGTGATAGGCACACCGGCATAGAAGCGTCCACAAGGAAAATCAGTAACATACGGCCTGGAAGATAGGTCCGGATGCTTGGTCAAGTCGTTTACCACAAAAGCGCTCTTCATAATGTCCTTGCCCACAGCAGCAGTAATGGGGATTGACGGAAGATTAACAGTAGTCTCGCAACAGGCAACATCGCGAGGAATCACAGAATAGCCCATCCATACCTCATCTCCTGAATCATGTACTGCATCATCCTCAAGAGAAAGAGATTTTGTCGCCTCGGCCATGATATAGGCATGATTCACATCGAAGAAGAAGATCAGACAGCGGCGAGCCCTCAGCCTCAAGGCACCTAGTTGGCAAAAGGCTGTGAGAATCTTATCGGGACACGAAACAGCTTTGTGTTGCTTCCTGGCGTCGGGGTCGCGAACATCGCAGTATTGAGGACCATAATCAGACATCTGTCGGAACGGGCCATAGTACCTGTGATTGATACACGATCAGTGCTGCCGAAGAAAGGCTATGAAGCAGATGTACAGGACATAAACAACGAAAGGTTGGATGAATACCGGTAAAAGTGCTGCTCCCGCCGACTCTCGCCGCGGGCAGCTTCTCGTGGCTCCCACGTCCGGTCGCCTGGCTTGGCGCAAGCCCCGCCAGCAGGTCCATCCTCCATGTCGGTGCCGTCGTATATGAACGTAAGTCGCTACTCGTGATATTCAATGATAGCATGTACTTCCGCTTGCCGAAAGGATTGTCGAGTGAGACGATCCTGTTCAGCCGCTGCACGGAGGTGACACATGACGGATGGCGCTAACAAGGATTGAAGCACAATCAACGTCAACCATTTGCGTGCGCATGTATCAAGCTCAAATCACATGTCCACCTCGCATGCGCCCGAAAGACGGGAAATTTTACGGAACAATGGCGGCGATCGCGCGCGTGAATGCATGGTGAGAGAATATACGGGAAGGCCGTGGTTGGAAGCTTGAGGGTCACTTTTTCATTGAGATGGACAATTTCAATTTCAACTGGGGCAATATTGACGATGCACAACCTGATTACAATCAACTATGGGTGGATGGCAATTTTTAGTCGTTCGTCGACCTTAGCAGTCCAATTGGAGCTCAAGTTCTCGTCTTATAACGGTCTCTCATCTGAGTATCTAAAAATTGCGGCTCGACTTGGCTAGCTTCGATGCTGACTAATACTCTATTGTTCGCATGTGCAAAGCTCGCATTCGTATATCTCAAAAACCCGTCTAATGATATGCAAAGCTCGGCCTCCCCCCACACATATCACTTTGATCCTTCAACTCGTGAATATCTAGCTTTTAAACTGTTTTGCTGCACCGATGTTCCTTTACCAGTGGATTGGGAACGGCTTCATATCTGCGATATGGTCGGATTATAAAGCTCAGTGAGTCCCCCACAGATACTTTGATAACCACGTAGACACTTCAAATTGAACGGTGAGGTAGCACGATGTCTCGCACTGCTATCTATCTTGCCTGGCGAAAACGGGGGTGCGAAGCATTGTGCAGGCACGACAGCCAGAGCGTGTATACTAGAGGGATCTTGCAAGGAGATCTCAAGGTAGGCTGGACTTAAGAGCAAGCTACAACTCTCCTAAGGGTACTACCCTTCTGACTTTTAGAACTGGTGAAACACAGCCGCAGGTCGACCTTATTGTGCGTTTAGTTACGCCTCGCTAAGGTCAATTCGACAGTTTTTCTAACACCCTAACCCTATGCTGCTTGACAAAGAGGACCCTGTCCTAGAACAGGGATTGCGCAGCATCTTCCTTGCTTGCCTTCTGCTGCACATGCTGTATTTAGCTCTGCACTACTCGTAAAAGCTGCTATTGCTAGCAAAAGTATTAGCAAATCATCTATTCAGAATTATTTCTATACTTACGAGTAGTACAATCAAGCTCAGCTACACCTAGAACGTCTGTCGCGCAGCACTGTGCCTGGCTGTATATCACACTAGGGCAGACAGTACCTGATACAATAGGTGTGCTGCTAGGATTGGATGCCAGAGAACCTGCCGAACTTCCCGAGCTTACTGAACTTGCCGAGCTTGCCGAACTTGCTGGACTTGCCGAGCTTGCTGAACTTGCTGAACTTGCTGGACTTGC